GTGTACTCACTCTAGTACTTTAGCTTTAGAGTACCTATAGCAGGATAAAGTATTATACAGAAAAATGTCCGTGATATGATTGGATCATAGTTGTTGCAGCATTAATATGTGCTTCCTTTTAATGTATAAGATGGAGATTTTATCGGGTTATACTTCTGGGTGGTTTTATCTATATTAATCGAGCAATATATCAGTATCAGTACAATTATAACTAAAAAGGTAAAATAATGAACTGAAGTTTCAGATTTCTGGGGGTCCAGTGTCGCCCTGCACTCTCATCTTTGGGTGCACCCCTGCTTTTCTTCTTTCCATGGGGAAAATGTATTTTGAATTGTATATTTAAGTTTATATATTTAGTTCTGTTTCTTGTTTTTATGCTTTTATTTGATTTGTGCTTCACTTGATATACATGCAGCAGTTTTAGAGAGAGAAAATAAAAGTGTCAGTCTCTGAAACACGACCGCAGTGCTGCTGCTCAGCGTTTATTACTGTTTGCAGGATTTCAAAGTATAAAAGCAGAAATACTGTCAGGAGTCCTCACACCTGTTTTGTTTTTGTTTTTTCTCTGCAGGAAGCGAGGATGAACAGGACGAGAAGACATTTCTTTTAGCTATAGGTATTTTTGCTGTTGTTTTTGTAAGTCTTCTTGTTATTCTTAGTGTTGCTTTATGTATCCACAGAAAAAAGAAATCATCAGAACACAGGGAACATGAACATTATGAACGTCCACCTGAAAAAGAGCTGATCTGAAATGTATCAGACGACGTGTAAAACATTATTTTCTGACCCTGTTAGCGAGCAGACAGCACAAACAAAGGTTGTGTTGACAGCGCTCCCCTCACAGCAACAAGGCTTCGATGCACCGCTCCTCTGATCTCAAGTCACATTCGGGAGTCATGTTCTCCCATCAATCATTAAAAGCAACATTAGGTCAATGCTGTGGCTGCAACAAGCTTTATAATGACTGTTTCCGTTTCTTTTCCCTTTTTTCTTTTAAGCTGTAACTTTATTCTGTGCAGTTTTCTGCAGAGCTTGATTTTACCGTGAGAACAGCAGGTGAGCGTAGTGGAGCTTTTAGCAGGTAGAGAGGTGGAGGAGACAGACGTAGAGTAAATCAGTTCAGACAGTGCATTAAAACGGGGCCACAGTAGCATGGTTAGCAGGTTCTCACAGCTAATTAAGCACTTTATTAAGTTCTTTAAGCTTTTATTTTGCACCTTAAAACACTTTATTTTACTTGCTGCTATTTGTGGCAACTGCAGCCAATCAGCAACTTCCTTCTTACTGCACATTGCCTCCATTAGATCAAAATAATTCACCAAACACAAGTCAGGTAATGTAATATGTGATTATAGTATAACCATAATATTTATTTTAAACCTACAAATGATTATATGGTTTTATTGCGTTATTATATGAGTTGTGCAACGTTCTGAGTTGGATCTGTAAATATCAGAAACCTTATTTAAACTCAGCTGATCTCACGTTCAGATCTCCATCTCGGGCATCATGTCCACTTAAATTTGTTCCTCTGCACAAGTTGCAAGGTTGATGTTTCCATTGACTTTCATTTTCAGGAGTTCACTCGAACATTAACCTGGTGAATAGGAAGGATTTTAATTCTGAAGACTTTTTAACACACTGTGAGTCAGTTGGTGCTTTCAGCCCCTGACAGTTCAGCTCGTTTCCTGTCCTGATGCCTCAGGATCTCACCCTTTCTCCTGATCGGCGCCCTCGCCTGTTGTGCTGCCTTCAGGCATTGAAACTCATCAGAAAACTGCTCAGTCGTGAAGTTCAGGTTAGTTTTAAATACAATTTGTTTGCTGTTTGTCGTTTGAGGTCTGTGGCGATGCTGCAGAGGTCAGAGGGGGACTTCCTCTGAGATCTAAAAGCAGCAGCAGCTCTGAAAACAGTCCAGAGGTTTCTGATTATTATCGATCTCTTCTCAGAACTTATTTATAGTCTTTATTTATCTGATGCACTCAGTGTGTTAATATTTCACTCTTTGTTTTCAGTTTTGTTAGTCCCCACTGATCTTTAGTTTGTCAGTTCAAATGTTGTGGATTCTCACTGATATCCAGTCTGACTCTGACAGAGTGATAAGCAAAGTTCATTGTAAATATCCACTGTCAAAAAAAAGAATAAATCGACATTTGAAGCTCAAAAGGGACAGTGCAATGTGTAAAAGCAAAGTGGAAGAAGATGGACGGGCGTTCAAAATTAAAACCGAGCAGGATGAGCGGTCATATCAGGAGTCAGCAGGAGGAACGAGGTATGAAACCCATGGAGAGAAATGAGGCCTCCCTCCATGTTTAGCTGTTATTTTATATTTTGTGTCCAAGCCAAGTGGATCTGTTGGCTCAAATTAGTAAATAATACACAGAAAACACGTGGTCATATGTATGCATGTGCACATGTTCATTTCTCAGTATCATTTTTATATTGAAACGTTGTTTTTTGTGACATTTGTATTATATTCTTTTGTCTTCTGTTCATTTAAATTAACTGTAAGTGTTGTGCAGTTGGCTGGACTGTTGATCTGAACTCATCGTAGAAATAAAGTGAGAGCCTCACATCACAACTAACACAGTGAAGGGTTTGTTTGATGGTTTTTTCCTCTAGGGACTTTTTCTCTGATTAAAGCAGAAATAGGGGAACTATGTCATTAACTTCAGCCTGTTTACACTTGTGCACTTCCTTCTTCTAAACGCAAGTAATTATAATTATGGGTGTTTTTCGTAAATACTTCTGTAGAAATGAACTTTCTTAGTTGAGTCCAGCATTGAAAGACATTTAGATCTTTATATGGCAAACAAATAAAAAGTTAAATCAGCACAATCAAGTGAAAATCTTTGAAATATTCCCGTAAACTGTGACTAAAATGTTCCTAAATTCCCCCTGGTACTGTTTTTGTGTGGCAGGAATGGCTGCGGCTCATTTCAGATGCACTCGGGTTATTTCCGAAGTACAATGTGCTCACAAACGCGACACAGTGTATCCCTCCAGCTGCAAGCTATCAACCTTTACTGACGCGACTGTTTGGTCACATGGTTAGCTGACATTGACCTTAAAGACAGTTTAACTTCCAAAGCTTTTTAAAACTTTATTTTGGACAAAGTCAGCAGATTTTAAAAAAAACTTGACATCAAATATGACCGCTGAGTCTGTACATGTACTTTTTATGTCTTGGGAATACTTCAAAAATAACTACCAAAACAGAACCCATTAGGTCTGTTTTAATGTTTTCTTTTTAACATTAACTGCTTTTCTTTCTCTGTCATCATAATTTTATTTTTATTTTTTATTTTAGTTGTTTTTAGGTGATTCGATGCTGTTTTATCTTGTTTTTGTTTTAATATAGGGCTGTTTTAATTTTATGTTTTATGTGTTTTATTTATTTATTTTGCTGTTTTCTGTTCTATTGTTTTAACTTATTTTCTATACAGCACTTTGTTCCTGTGCTGGGTATTTTAAAGTGCTTTATAAATAAAATTGGATTGGATTGGATCATAAAGTCAGACTGGGATTAGGGAATCTGCAGCGTCTGTTACTCATGAGTGCACTTTGCTTCCAAAACAAAAAAAACAGCTGACCGTCAGACACTTTGGTTTAATCAGTCAGAAGCCACGAGTACAGCTCACGAAGACTTTATCATGCATGCCAGTAAAGATAAGTCATGTTTTCAGTTGAAGCTTATCTCATACTGAAAGTCAGAGTTCAGCACGTTTCCTCATATTTTTTACCAAGATTATGTTTTCTGAACCCACAGCGAGGATGGGAATGATGTTTGTCTGATGATACAAATGGCTGACTTGTGTCACAGTGACCTGTAGATAGACATTTGTCATACTGTGGGGACTGATGCACTGTGACTTTCACTTCTAGGAAGATGAAACCGGTCAGAGGATGACTTCTCTGGTCACAGCCTGTAAATAAATGACTCAGCACAAACACAACTGGTAAAAATGTTCATTTCACTAATGTTCTTTGCTGTGGATGTTTCCTGTTTGTCCGAAACAGCCACGTAAAAACGAACAGCTGCACATCCCTCACAATCACATCATCGGATTGTTGCTGTACTTTCTTTCTTTTCTGCTGGTCGCCACGTTGTCTGTGTGTAATTCTGTGAACAGGATGTGGTCAGACTTAATAAGACTAAAGCTGTGTGTGCGTGCGTCTCAGCAGTGCTTCTGTAAGCTGGCTGATCTCTGTCCTGTTTTTTTTTCTGCATCTTCATCCCTACAGTTGTTAATTCCTGACTAGAAGAACATCTGGAAGCTGCTGAACATCTGTTTCTTTCCCGCTGAGCTCTAAAATATGAGCAAAACAGAAACAGGCCTTCAAGTGAGGAGCAATGGAGGTTGAGTGGCTGCGATTATTATCAGGTGTTCATGACATGAAAGGAGATGCTGCCACCTGTTGGCTGTAGTTGGTCACTGACGCTGTGGTGAAATGTGTACATGAGATTATATTCTGTTCTCATGAATGAATTCACTTTAAAACGTATTCTAAAATAATAGTTTGTGCATGACAGAAATAAATAATACTAACAGCTACTCTTGGGGGCTTTATTTTGCACACTGTTACACTTGACCTCATAAAATTCAGCAGACAGATTTTGCAGCTGTGCTAGACGTCATATTTCATTGTGATGTGTGTGTTTGGCACCACAGGGCCACCGTACATTGATCTAAAATGACATTTCTCATTTTAAAACTTTCTCAGTGAATCCATTCTGCACCTTGAAGGGGAGTTAAATGTTGTATTAGAGGAGCAGACTGAGCTTTAAGAGCCAAACAGCTTTTATCTTTGAGTCTAAGTTCTGGTTGAAGAAGGTTTATAGTTGTCTGTGAAGGTTCTCAGTCATCCAGGTCATCGTAGTCAAAGGAGCTTGCAAAGAAAAGCGTCTGGACTTCTTTAAGTTACTTGAAGACGTTTCACCTCTCATCCGAGAAGCTTCTTCAGTTCTAAGGTCAAATGGTGGAGAGTCCCAGATATAACCCTAGTGGGAGTATCCCCCCACAGAGGGACAAAAGGACCCCCTGATGATCCTCTAATCGCCTGAGCCAAGGTGTGGAACTTTAGATCCACCAGTTTTAGCGGCTACAAGAGAAACACTCAAACAATAACTTCCAAGGTTTATAGTTAGAGTTTGTCAAAATTCAGCACATAACTGAGAGGAAGTCTCATTTATAAGTCTTTCTTGGCCAAGTTCAAGTAAACCGATCAGATTGTCATTACTGAATGCTCTAATAATGATTAATGTGCCTGGTAAACACTGAAAACAGGTCCACCAGACCTAAACAGCAAACAAGAGTTAACTGTTTCAGACAGGACTGGTACACATAGTTTTTGTTTTTTTAATGCTTCTTCTTTAAGCTCATTAGTTGGAAGCAATTTAACAGGCTCCCAACATGCTCTAAACTCTGGTTCATGTGTTGTTTCAGACCTACTGTTGATATGCTTCTTTAAAATAGTAGGCACAGTAATTATGCTAAGTACTGCTAGCAGTCCAACAATCAACCAGTAATAAGGGTTAAATATGATGCTTCATAACTAAAGGCTGACACGCAGTGGAAATTTGTGTTTTTATGTTTTATCAATATGTGTATTGGTACATAGTGTTGATTTTATTTGCATGATTTTATTGTGATATTTATATTGCATGGTTTTATCCTCATATTTATATTGTGTATTTTAGTGTTGTTGCACAATATTCTTCTAATCCACTGTGGACTAAGCAGACAATTGTAGGCCCTTGTGAGGTGGGGGCGTTCCCCGAGGTGGCCTATCAGCCGCCAGACTGACCTGTTAAAGGGGATAGTGAGCGCAGAGACAAGGGGAGTGACGCACGAAAGGTGAGGAGGAGAAAAAGAAACGCGTGTAAGCCCGCACATGGGGCCACGAGTCGTTCGGCGATCCAGTCCCAACGGCAGGAACAGCAACAGTGGGTGACGATGGCCGCAATTCACAGCAGGGCAGGAGTGTCCCTCTGCCTGCATGTGGCGGTGCTACGAGGGAGGCCGTGTTCAGGTGTGGAGTGGGGCGGGACTGTGCGGTGACGCACTGTCAGCAGGAGACAGGTCTGCGACAGGAGCCCCCTCCTTATTCTTCTGGCCGGCGTGGTTTCCATCCCGGAAGAGAAATTCCTCTCCTGTTTTAGATAAGGAACATTTGCCCGCTTTTGGCTGGACTGTGGGAGGGAATTTTAGCAAATGGAAAACATTTATTTAGCTTAGTTTTAATAGTGTATAGTTATTTCTGCCGGCAGGGTTTTTAGCGTATTGAGAACACTCTTTTTATTGTATAGTGGGGATTTTAACCTGTATTTGTGAATCTGGCTGTTTTTTCCTTGAAAATAAATGGTGTGTGTTCAAAGTCAGCTTAGTTTCTGTGCCCAGAGCACTGACCCACTCGCTCCCCTTCCTCTTGTATGTGAACGGACATGGAGGTGAAGATTTAGATCCACCAGTTTTAGCGGCTACAAGAGAAACACTCAAACAATAACTTCCACCAGCGTCACGTTAATGCTTTTGTTTATGTTGATATCTAACATGAATATAACAATGTAGCAATGTTGTGGCTTATTATCTGAAAACTTGTGTGATAATTTCTGTGTAATCAGGGCGGAAAAATGCAAAGCCGCGCGTTCCTGTATAATTCCATGTTAATTACCTATTAAAGGAAGAAGCTGAAGAGCCTGGTGTGTCCAGATCTGCTGGCTGGGATGTACCTGCATCATGATGCTAACACTGGTTAAAATACCAAATAAAACAGACCGATTGAAATGTCTTTACAACATCTCTGAACATCATGTGGGATAGTATAAGACCTATAGATGTGTGTCGGATTTTTCCTTCCTGAATCCTCCAATAGACAATAATGTCTCTGTTTCCCTCCTCACAGTTTCTAGAAGCAAAGGTCAGAGGGCGCGCTCTGGGTTCTTCGACCCTTCAGAAAATTGTCAATAGACCTGAAGCAACAAGATCAAACTGTGTAGCTGCCCACTTGGAATGACCACTCGTGACGCAGAGAGCTTCGACTGATGCAACTTTATTCTCTCCTCTTTAAACCACCGACAATATGGCACCGTGAAAACTATAAAGATGCACAAACAAATACCATTAAACATTTAAGTAGAAAGTGCAGAAATGTTCACATTTTACTATAGAAAATGATTTTGATTAACTCAAATAGTGACATCGACATAAATCAATAGTTTTTAAACTATTTATGTTACAGCATTTAATAAAATGAATTAACGACAACCTTTCTGTCTCTTAAATACATAAACAGTCATTTGCATCATTAAACCAACCTCTTTCTGCTTCCAAGGGTGCTAATCATGCTGAACCAGCTAGCCAACCTCCTCCATGCACATCTCTTAGCCAGTCTTTCCACACCGCAAACAAATGACATGAATATACAATAAAAAACGAATTCAACCACATTGAGTAAACTTTCAAAGTTATAGCATGTGAATAAAATACATAGTTTGCACGAGTATTTTCAAAAAATAAACGTTTTTACTCACTCTGAAGCAACGTGTTTGTGTCGTTTCACTGAGAACAGAACAGGAAGTCTGACACAATAAAAGAGGAAGTGCTAAGGTACTCTTCAAAATAAAAGCACAAAGTAAAGTGGCTTTGCCGGCATTTACAAACTGGTCCTCACATTAACATCTAATTATTCAAAACAAAAGCAGCAATTTATCAAACCATGGCTCCTGTTCACAGGACAAATATCAAACGTCTCAAATAAAAATGTAGCTGAAGTTTAACCGCCTCCTAACAGCACACAAAACAAAGATGTTGTCAGTCAGACTCTTTCAGATGGTGTTACACAGTGGATCAAAGTATTTAGTGTGACCTAATTTAAAGTGAGGACCATCTATACCGAAGCACTTATAAATGAAACTGAAAGGACAACAGTACCTCAAGACTCCAACAAAACTCATACAAATGTTTAATGCAAGGTGCAAACAAAACTCACCTGTTTATAAGATTGAGGAAACCTGCAGTCAGCTGAGACTGAAGAAGTCACTTGAAACCTTGTAGTAGTACGTAGTGCACGTACTTCAAGCGTGCAGACCCTGAATTGGGAAACAGCCACAATCTCACACAGCTTTTGTTAGGCGCACTGCAGTATGGCGAGTGGCTTGTTTACTCGCACTAAACCTCCTAATTTCAGGAGATACTCCCTCTTGTGGTGTAACGGAGGAATAACTACTCTCACCAGCACTGTCTCATTGGAGACTAGGGCACAGATCATTTTACAACTAAAGAGAATAACATATGACAATCAGAACATTTAACCACCTGTGTGTGTGTGTGTGTGTGT